CAGCAGGAACTTACGCGTTTCATGTATTCAGGGAAAACATGGCCAGTTCGCATGCCTGACCGCTATAGGGGAAGGGAGACGGGAGAACACGATATAACTTGTGTAAGAGGCATAAGAGGCTCTGCAAAGAAGAAAGGCCTAATCTGTCCATTGTGGCCATAGTGGACACACTGGCCATAGGACAAGAAGTAATAGATTTACATTGCCTAAAGGTTGGGTTTAAGTATTATGAAAAGCTTCCTAATGGGCTAGTTAGTCCTGGGAGTCTCTGTATCTGGTATCTCTGTATCTGGTATCTTGGACCAGATAAAATGTCTCTGGGAGATGACATGGATAGCTGACACTGCCTTGGAGGAGGGGATTGGACTAGATTTCTTGATGCACGCTCCCAGAAATCTAGGCTTCGCTGCCTGTTATTAGCCCACTCCTCCCACTCCTTTTTGATACATTAATCAGATAAATATTCCCTCTGTAAAATATCCTCTATGAGCTGGGAATGATAGTTGCAGGGGTTTTTTTGAAAAATGTCCATGTACGTTTCAGAGAACGGGCACCAGAATTTGTGTGAGGTTCCCTGGCTGAAGGAAGGGTCATGGCTTGAGTTGTCTGCAGTCTGAACTGGATATACATTATCACTGCTCTCTGCACCCAGTTTGGGCTAAGCTCTTGCAGTGAGTAAGACTTGGGTTTGATTTTACGGAAGAGTTATCCAGGAAAGGCTCTCTCTCCACCTCCGTTAAGCCTGTGTATTATGTATTACTTTTGAACTTACGGAGAAGGTATTCTGAGCTGTCATGGTCATAGTCATTGTCTTCAGGGAAATGGTTGATTCGGAAGCAATGTCCTTTGTAGATTCCTAAATGAAAACAAAGCAAACATAACACATACATAACAGCACCAGGTAAAAGAGCTTCTGCTAGCTCTCCTTCATCTCCTTTTCTTCCCAGATTGTATAAGTAAATTATTCTCCTGTAGGGTTGATCACCAATTTTTTTATGCCATCAGGAAACCACCTCTTAGGTCATGAATCTTAGGGAGTTTGGACTGAAGCGTCTCCCTAGGAAGGGAGAGCCAGGACTCCTGGGTTCTTTTCCTTAACAGTGCCGCTAATACCATTGTCTTCAGTTTTTTTTAAATCTCTCTGTGCTTTGCTTTATCCATGCTTATCTCACAAGGATACTGAGTTTGCAAAGCTGCTTTTTGTTCCTACAGTGACTGTTGCTATGGGTTCCTGCTCCGTGGCTGGGGCTGCTGGATGTTATTACAGTAAACCTGAGCAACTGTATAGTCCTTAACACTCCTCCTTTCTCATTCCCAGTGAAGTGTTGGGTTCCCTTATCAGAGCTGGTGAACCTTGTGCTGTTTGAGGCTTCTTCAATTACTCTCCAGGCTTGGAAAACAAGTCCATAAATCTCTTCTTGCTGTAATTTAAACCCATATGCCCCCCTCAAAGTTGCTTCAGTTTTTAATGGGCATACTTGTCCAGTTAACCGAAGCCTGTGCAGTAAGTCAGGGTGTGAGCAAAGCCTGGGTGCCAGCCTGGACATGTCGGTACCCTTACAGAAACACTGCATTTCTCATTAGACAGCTTCCACTTTCTTCACTGCTACATCCCTCTCTCTGTCCTATCTTCCATCTCTCCCTGAGATTCTTCCTTTTCACTTCCTCTTTTTGTTCAGTTTCTCTTATACCGAAGCTGAACACAACAATGTTCGGGCTGCTGAATGCTACCTGTACCTGAAGAGGTGACACCAGAATCAGAGACGAGACCCTCGCCTGACTGATCAATTTGAGGTTCAGCACGTTGTCCATCTACGTAAAGGCTTACATTAGCAGGTTGTATTATTTTATATCATGATTATACATAGCCACATCTAGTCTTAGCTGCAATGTGATAGCTGAGACCACTGTTATACAGAGAGCTACATGGGGACGCAAGGATTTTTCCCCAGAGAGCTTACGGGGGGAGCGAAGCCCTGAGGTGTGATTCTGCCTTGGTGCTTTTATTATTCATTAACCAGTGCTTTCATGCTCAGGAACATATATCACCCAGGATGAGCTCTCTTCTGCACAGGAGTATTTGGTGCTTACCGTTCTAGCTGACAGAAGGATTTAAAAATCATCAGTTAATACTACTTTAACAGAAGCACAGCTGCAGTCTGTAGGATATAACCGTGGATTTATTTTACTATCTATTACCGATGATTACAAAGAGCTTCTCAGAAGAATTCCTAATCCAGAGGATTTCAGTTGCACCCAGTGAGTGTCAACTACAGGTCTGCTTCTACAGTGCATTTAATTCTTCCAGTAAATGATGTATCTACTCTAATTACGATAACAGCTCGGGCTTTCTCTGCACAGCATTTCAGAGACTGTGAAAAACAAGCAAGTGGCTCTTGTAGCATGTGGAAATGACACACCTGTACTGTCTGCAAGGCAGATAAGAGCACTTCAGCTGGGAACTGGTGCTGCTGAGCGTGTTTGCCCCAGCAGTCCTTTGTTTGCCATCAGCTGCTTTGTTGCTCTTTATGGCTCTTCAGCAGGGCAATCCAAAATGCAGATTTTTAAAGATCCTAGTGCTTATCTTTATGGCAGTTCACACAATGCAAGTGAATCTCTCCCAGCATAACTGGGCCTCTGAGACTGGGGTGGTAATTTCTTTGACCTTCTTCATCACGTTGTGCCAATTTAGAGGAACTATATTCAGAGTACGATTTTTTCCTCCTATTCATTAAAGAAGAATCTAAACAGTTTTCTTAACCTGATTTCCTATGGAAATAGGCTTTTCCATGACACTGTGCTTGTGTGGATATAGGTGGGGTGGGTTGTCAGTCTGTCGGTCCTTCTCCAATAACATCTAAGATAGTTGGCTGATTTTATCTCAATTGGATAGAAAAGTAGAAGTACAACAGGTAACTGAGATCTCACAAGTTTCATGAAAACATGCACTTGCATAAAGGAGAGAGGGCTCTTCACCTAAGACTGCTTTGTGATCTTGCACATTATTAGATACCAGAGCACGGGCACGGATGAAAGCCCAAATAAATGTTCCACTTCCAGAAAATCAATTAGCAGACAAAATGTGCAAGGCCGAAATGTTCCCCAAGCCTCCTGTGTTAGCAATACTGATGAATCAATGGATGGTTTTGGTTTCTGTAAAATAACCGTGTGTTTTTAAACTCCTGAATGAAACGGGCCCCTTAGCAAAACTTTTTCTTCTGATGAGGCCATGAAGCCATCCCTTCCACTGGAGGACTGAATATATCAGCAGGACAGTATGGGACTATGTTAGCAGGGTCCAGGCTTTTCCTGTTTTATGGCTAAAGACCTTCATTTCCAGGTTCTTTATACCTGGAGCCTTTCACATGAAAGTATGCTATCAAGACTAGTAGATGTGAAAAAAGAGGATAATTAGAAATAGCCCCAGCTGAAAATTTTAGAGAAGCTCAAGACTCCCTTTCTGTTTCCAGTTTTTAGGGGTGCTGAGATTGGCCATTCTGGCCAACTTTTTACAGAAATAGCAAATGACTGTGAAACGTGGACCTGTATCGAAGGCTGGGAATCCAAAATTTTCTTCCACATATTTTTGCTGTGGTTCAGGTCGTGGATATTGGCTCAGGGTCATCTCTAGTGTCTGCGGAATTTGATAGCTAATAACAGCAACTAACTGGATAATTTTCTTTCATAAACTTAACAGGTGCCATGTAACTCAGCGGCAGCTTATCAAAAATCTCAGCAAGGCTTGAAGTTGCTATCAAGAACTCTAGCGCTCTACTGGGCTGAGGACTCTTTCAATCCATAATGTATCAGAAATAAAGCTTTGCTAGGAAATGTAACACTTTTTTCACAGCGATGAAGTTTGAAACTCAGATTTGGGAAAAATTAAAACTAGTTAGACTGGAAGCTATTCAAGCAGCGCTCAGCTGTGATAGCATCCCTTCGCTTACTAGCATAGGAGAAAACAAACAAAAACAAAATAGAAATTTGTTAAAATACCCAGCTCCATGCCCCAGCTTGTAAAGGAAAAGAAAAGGGATAAAAGCCATGCGATACAGGAGGTGACAGAAAAGGGGATGCCTCAGATTAGAATTCAGTAACAAATATTCTCCAGGATCGGCCCAAGGCCTGCAATCCTTAAAGCTCTTCTGAAGCGCTTCAGGCTGTGTACAAATGTGGCTACTGCTCCACGCTCAGTAAAGGCACCCACGGACAGTTTTCCACATCAGGACATAAAGTGGAATGGATTTTTTTCTTTGTTTGAGTACGGGGGTAGTCCCTTACACAGTTTGGAGAGGAAGATGGAATATTTAACTTCTACTTTTGTATCCACTAGAGAGAGATAAATAAACTGCAATCACTGCCTAACAGATACTAAAATATTGAAAAGCACTTCTGGATACCTCATGAGAGTAAGATCTAATGTCCCAATGAGATGCCGTAAGTACTACTCCTTTTGCTGAGTGAGTACTTATATGTTTTAAATATTTTCAGAAATGCAAATACTATGATGCATTTTTCCCATAATTTCATTTTGAATTTTGAGCAAGGACTTCAGGATTTGGGTTAGTAATAATGAAGAGGCAAATTTGCTAAAGTGGTGCTGATGCTGTGAGAAAAGAAATTGTTCTGCTGGTTACCACGTGCTTAGCTGGTACTTAGAAACTAAAATTATTTGTTAGTCTGTGCTTTCCTCTGTCTATGTTCAAACTTGTCACCTACAAAGTTAGCACTTCCCAGCCTCACTAAGTGTTGTTTGGATAACTATAATTAGAGTGTGACATACTCAGATAATGAGGGGGGAATGTAGTGCCTAAGTCAACATCAAGCTTTGAGTTTGGGTCTGAGATATCAAAGAACATCGAGTTTTCAACAGTAAACCAAATTAGTGAGCCCAGCTTCTGATGACATACTGCCTCCTCCTTGCTCTTGCTCAGATAATCCTTATAATCGTATCTGTGCTGCTGGCAGGATTGTTCACTGTGGTTACAGTTTGTGACCAGTGAGAACAGTGGTCACAAATGTTGCAGGATGCAAGTTCTGCTGAACCCTGTTTGTGAACTTACATTACGCAAGTATATCATCGCTGGCCAGACTATCAGTCAGGCCATTTCTTTCAAATAGCTATTTCCCATGGTTAGTAGTAGTCGGTGATAACATTCTCTGATGCACTGGAAGTGCTTTCACAAATGTTTTCAGTGCTGGAAGATAAGAGCCTTTGAATATTTGACAATATTTGTCAAGGCAAGCTTTACTTTTGCGTTCCCCCCCCCCATAATACAGTAAACTACATACAATAAGATCTTTCCATAACGTTAGTGTTCTGTTGTCATTTAAAATAGGTTTCCACCACGCAAGATGCTAGCAGCTTTGCAGCAGAGGACCTTGTCTGCGGGGTACTTGTGTCAATAGCCATTTTTGTCTCTCTGTCCTGAGCATGAGCTTACAGAAAGCGATATTTGATAGCAGGGGGAGACACATGAGGATAGATGGTTCTAGCTGGTCTCCCTCATTCCCCATCACCAGCTTCTGCAGAGCTGTTGCCCAATTAACTGTTTCACCTACCAGCCTTCTCCCCTGCCCTTATTGGTGAGACTATGCAGTAAAGCGCCAGTTTTGGAACTTGTTTGAGAAGCCTTTCTTGTTTTCTCACGGGATGCGAAACATTTGCGACCTCCTTGGATCCCCTGCCAACACAACACATTCTTGCACTGAACAGCTACTGATACTTAGCCCTCACACGTGCACGCTATTTATAGAGGTAAGCAAGGTTTTCTCCATAGGGGCGTATGTTCATGGAACGAGTGCTATGAATGTCAGCCTCGGAAGCGCTCAGATGGCTACACTAATTACCTGCAG